GGGCGCCGCCCGGTCCCGTCGGGCCATCCCGGAGGAAGGCGGGCGGAGCGGGGACCGGGGGACGTGCACCCCGCGGACACAAGGGGATAGTGTCTCTGTGAGCATCCTGGTCTCGGGGCGCCGTCCCCTGTTGGCAGGCGCTTTGCCTACCCCTTGCAGTGCTTTCCTGCCCCTCCCAAGGGGGCCGTGCGTCCAGACCCACCGCCCCCCCAATCCGTGAGGAGCGGTTAAGTTAAACCCGGTTGTTACTCCTGAAATGAGGGAGACTGATTAATCTGTTGGTTAATAGACCTTGAAATGTGAAATGCAGCGGGCATGCAGAGTGCCGGCAGCGTGTGAGGGCCTCCTGCTCCCGGGCAGAAGAGGTACGTGATGGCTTTCATTGGCAGGAGTACGGGGAACTTCTCCATCACAGCAACAAGATAATTAATTTTTAAAACGTGAGACCTAGCATAAGCATGTTTTGCTTCTTACTTCCTATTTTGGCCAGTTTTTAATTACCTGACTGGCATTAGGAAAGGGGAAACGCAGGCTGGGTATCAGTAGTTGCAAAGGAAGAACTTGTAACCCCCTGAAAAAAAATTTAATATGGATCTTAATATGAATTGGGTTGTTTCGTACAGTGCACTCAGTCTTTGTAATGAGGCTTTTTCTTAAAAGTGGTTTGGTATGGCTACATGTGCCTTTCTGATGCAAGAACTGGAAGGGATCAGGGGACCCCAAGTGACTTCAGAAATGCTCTGAAAGAACTGAAGAGTGAGGAATGATTTCTGTCTTGGAAAAGCATCCTGCTAGCGTCATTTTCTTTTTTTAATTAGAGCTGTAAAACATAGAATGGAGAAAGCTGAAGAACAAGTGTTGCTTATACAATGGTCTTCTGAGGTACAGGTGGATTCTCAGGTGGCCATTTGAAATAACAAATGATGTAACAAAAAGAATTAATCTTCCTTTCAGGGCAGGGGGAGGCATAGCCAGAGAAGAAGACGATTTTAGTAGCTGGCTCTGGAGTGAGAGAGGCTGCTGGGGCAGCAGTGGAAATTTGGAAGTACTGTGGAAAGGAATCCTGGGATTTCAATGATTTTTGGTTTGCATGGCTTGAAAATATATACACTTGCCATTGATTTTCAAAATGCTGTATTTCAAAATATTCTTTCTGGCTTGCCATATTGAGTTAATGTAAATAATGTGGACAGCTGTTCCTTTCCCTTCAGCATGTGCTGACAGATCTTCATTTTTCATGTTTTATTTTGAAAACAGGTTTGGTTTTGTTTTTTTCCCGTTAAGGGAAAAAAAAAAAAAAAGGTTGATTTTTATTTCTTAAACTTTTCTTGGCAGGTGGAATTTTTCTAGGTACCGTTGCTACTGCAGGAATGATAGCAGGTTTTGGCACCACGCTTGCCATGACAAAAAAGAAGAACCCAGACTGGTTTAGTAAGGTTTGTTCCTTTTAAACTATTTTACAGTTCTGATACACAGGGAAGATGATCAAATGCCTTATAGAAATGTTGATATACGTGGAGTTTGGCGGTACAAAGTTGATGGTAAGAGCACTAGACTTAACTGAAGTCAATAGGGGTAGGATTAATTTAGAAATCGATTCAGAGTTGGCACTGCTCAATACTTTAGTACTTGAGATTAGTTGAAATATAATGTAAAACTTACATTGTTTGCTGGAATCATACTGCTGCTATATAATGGAATATCATTGATGGTCCATTTTGATTCTGTTATGTGAACGCACTTCAGTTGGGAGCCTGTATCACCTCAGTGATCCAGTTCACCACACAGTCCCACAGTGCCATAGTGAATTGGGAAGGGAGGTAAATGGAGTGAGGATGGGAATGAGGAGGTAGAAAGCCTATAAGCTGTGGAATATGTAATGTGGGATTATTTAGTTAAAATCTAAGCCCTCCACTCCCTTACCGCTGTGTAAGGGGGCAGATGAGAGTGAGTGGAGTGGCTTGGTACTATGAGATCTGATGGCCAAAAATAATCTGATCTCATGCAATTACTAACAGGATCCACCTGAGCATTCTGAAGAAAAAAACTGCAAAGCAAAGCTAACAATTATACCATGTTGGTGTATTATTCTGAATTAGAGCATATTTAATTGAAGAACACGTTTTTTTCCTCACTAATGCTTTGTTACTGCCAAAAATGTCAAAAATAGGTCCTTAGAATTGGTCAGTCTCTACTCCACCAAGCCCTTAAAATATAATATATATTACAGATGTTTTTAGGGAGCTGGGCACTGATGATTTGTGCTTATTGTTAAAATGTTAATTCAATAACAATGCATGTCAAGAGAAAAAAAATAATCTTCTATTGCACTTTCTATCAAAGCCTTTGTATCTGATCACTCACAATCTCCTTTTGTGGTCAAAGAGCATGAGAGCCTTCCTTTGCCATCCTATTTTCCTCTGTAGGCTGCCATGGCATAACTCATCCATTGCCTTTTCAGCAACAATAAACATGGGTTTCTTTTTTGAAATAGCCGAAACAGAGCACTCCATGAGAAGTTATTTCACAGGCTATAGAACTATATTACAATAAGGAATTTTTCTCCCTTTTTTTTTTTTTAAACATCTTTGGGGGGTTTTTTAAACTTCCTTTTTCCTGAGCATTACATTTTTTCCAGCTTACACATATTCCTGGCTGTCTGGCGCTGTCCTGTTATCAGTGTGAAATTTATCAAGAGTGACATTACATTGACATCTGGGAATATATATGCTGGAAGTGGCACCAAGTGATACATACCATTTCAATTTTTGCTGAAAACCTGTATCTACTGCTATCCATGCAAATGAATTACAACAGTTTGCTAGCAAAAAATCTATCATTCCTGGGCCCCTCAACTTAAATACTGCAAAGCATAGAAAGGTGCTTTTTTGTCAAGGTATCTGTAGGTAAGCAATTTCAAAGAGGAAGGACAGACTTTGAGAATGACTTAACTGTCTATAGAGGCTCTCTGAGGTTTTGTCACCAACGAGGTAGAGTTTTGATGTAGCATTCTTACTGAAATCTGTAGTTACTTACTGCAAGTCATTGCCTGTTATTTTTAAAAACACATCATGTATAATAATTAAAGTGTAGCTATGAATAACTACAGATGATTGCATCCTTCATAGATGTTCAGTGCCTAAATGTGTGGGGTTTCATCCACATTAAGGTGAAGCCATAGTTTGACAGGTAATTTAAGCAAACATAAGCGGGCATTGCTGTTGAAAGAAGTCATCCTACCGGCCCTTAGTTTCTGGCCATTCATTCCAGCCCCTGTAAAAGCTCCAACATTTGTGCTGCTGCGTTGGTGAGGTGATGCTGGTTAATTCTGCTTTGCTTTTTTCCCGCGTTAGTTTTAGTCCAAATCAGTCTTCTGATCCTCTTCGCTGCCTGACTGCAGCGACTGTGCTGGCCCAAGGTTGGGGGAAGGTCCAAAAGAATGAGAATGGATGCTCAGTGTTGGGAAGAAATGTGTGACTTATTCTTTCAGCATTTTTGCTGGCTTCTGCCAGTTTCTGTGTCCATGAAATGGCGGCACGCAAGTCAGAGTAGAAACGGGAAGCAAGCATAATGCAGCCTGGGACAGAATAAAATAGTTTTATGGGAGAAAAAATAGCAATTCAGAGGGGAAGCTTGTAGCATCGTGGCTTCATGACTGCATTCAGACTTCCAGGAAGCAACAGTATGAGATCCCACTCTTGCACAATAGCATCAGGGTTACTGGCAAGAGATAAAGCTGAGATTGCACCTACTGTACCTCCTCCGTGCTAGTGAAGTTAAGTAAATGTTGAAAGCATTTGTAGAACTGGTGCCCAAATTGACTTGAAACAGATTACCTAATCCTGTTTAGTGATGAAGCACTGCAGAGACCTTCAGTTAATAAATGATTCGGGGCTGTTAAAATTAAATGCTCAGATGTGGCAGCCTCCTTGTGATAAGTATCCAGTTTTACCAGCATTTAGGCAGGTGTTTAATTTTACAATGGGTTAGGTCATACAAAACAGCAAACACGCTGAATGCAATCAACCAAAACAGTTGAACACACCATTTATTTTAGGCACAGTTTCCTTTTGGACACCCTGTTATCCACAAAGGGATAGTTACAGGACTGAGGCCTGTGTCTGAAAAAAAAGTCATTTCTCCTTCTCCCACTTCCTGCTTATATCCTCCAGAAAAAAAAAAAAAAAAAAACAACAAAAACCAGCATATATTTTGGTAAGCAAGTCAGCTAATTCTACCCTATATTTTCCTGGCCTGTTTTTTAGAAAGACTCAAGTATTGTTTAATAGCTTATTTTTAAATGAGAGAGTTGCTTTTAAAAAAAAAAAAATAGGAGCAGTAGTGAAGAGAAAACCATCTGTGCACAGAATAACAGGCTGTGAATAAAACTCAGTTCTCTTAAAAAGGTCATTTTGTTGGTGACATCTTTTTCTCCCATGCTACTGTTGTCTTTCTAAATTTTTTAGTGTTTTGTTAATCAGCTTTCCTGATGCTCTGAACAGCATATCTGATAATCATATGACAAACTGTCTTGTTTACAGAAATCCTTATCTGTGTACTTAATACCCTGAGGAATCAGCCTGTGATTGAACGCTGTTTGACTGCTGTCAGTAAAACCAGATCAATTGTTTCCATTTACCACTTTTTTTTTTTTTTTCTGGGGCAATCAAACATTTAAATAGTATTCGGGTGATGGGGTTTTTTCCAGCAATTTTCACAGATAATGACTCCTATTTAAAGATTCTGTGTGAAGGATATTTTTGTCCATTAATTTCCCATCTTCCAAATGGAAGAAATTTTTCTGTGTGTTGTATATGGTTCAACTATGGAAGCAGGAAAAATGTCAGAAATAATCATCAGCATTATAAATCTACTCAAAGCAGTCTCTACTGAAAGAGTTGCGAAAGTTCATTAGCTGTGGTAAGGAAATAATAGGACCTGGTATAATAGTGAGACTAGAGATCTCTGCTGTTTGTGTTTGTGTGCGTGTATGTGTATGCTTACAGAGCATTGCTTTGTTAACAGCTTCCACTTTGGGATGTCCAAATCAGAATAAATAAGGATCAAGATGCATTTTGCTTGTGCCCTTTGCAAGTGTGTGTTTGTCCTTGGGTAACTGCCTACAGCTAAATCCTAAGTGTTAATGCTGAGGGACTGCCTAAGGATCATTTTAATGTTTTAATAAATACAAAGCCAAGAGGAAAAAAGCTACTGGTGCTGTTTCACTGACCAAATACCATAGTGGTAGACACTACATATGTTTAATTATATCAAAGAAGAAAGAGAACCATTTTTTTAAAAAGTACTAAAAAAACTTAATGTCTTTTTAAAGCAAGAATACAAAAGATTATTTTCCACTTTTTGTGATGAATGAAGTGTAGCTCTTTGGCATGTTTTGGAGGATTTTTTTTTGGATCCTTCTGCAAGTTAATTTCACTTTTCAGTAGTTTAGACTACAAATGAAATAATACTTTATTGAATATATTTGTATGTTTGCAGTCTCATTTATGTTTACCTCTGAGCAATACATTTTTTTCTTGAGATACCCAATAAGTAAGTAAACTGTTCAGTTGTGTAAGGACCATAGATGCAAATCTTTACCAGTTACCATCTGAAATCTCCGTTTCCATGTGAAGAATTGAACAGTGGTCTTTCAGAGAAAAAAAACAAACAAGCCCTCTTGCTGACATTCACCACTGCGAGCAAGAGAATTATGTCTGTCTTACTGCTGTTGTGGGCTACGCAGATTGAAGCTGCCCTATACCAAACAGGTACAGCAAGGTGGGCGTTGTGAGATGAGAACGGCTAGCTAGCGGTGAACGTGCAGTGTGAATTAATTGATGTCAGCCAGCCTGTGGCTTATGCTCTTGGTAGCTGCAATGTGCATTCAGGTGCTGCGACAGAGAAGGTTTCATTGTAGTTAGGACCCCATCACAGCTGAGGTTATGTTCTTCTTGGCCTGAGGTGGCTTTTCCAAGTGACAGTGTTTTGTGTTTTCAGGACATGTCTCATGGTAGACTTTTAAGCAGCAATATCTTAACAAGTGGTTAAAACCACCTACTCTTGTTTGTGACAAATATGAGAAGTATGGAGACTGCAGAGCATTTTCTGTGTTGACACTTCGTGAACTCTGCAGCAGGATGGAGTTTAGTGGTGTTGTTTGCTCTTTACAAAATTTTCCTAAATGATTTCCAGAGCTCGTTCAGAGTTGCAGCCCCTCAAAATTAGTCTCTCAGTCGCTGTTATACCCTCCCTGAATCAAGCTGAAAGCTACTCAGTTTCCTAATCTGCTGTTTCAGGAGTGCAGATGAAGACCTGCAGGCCAGTGGTTGCCCACCACCCTTACTGCCCTAAGAAAAAGTACCAAAATCAATGACATAAAATGATGGTGTTCTGATGCCACTGGTATAAAGGCTTGTGAGTGGGTTTGATTTAGTTTTGTATTTTGACTGGTGGGACAACCGTGTGTCCGATTCTTATGCCCACAAAGCAGTTGACTTCAGCATTTCTGGGTAATAAAAATCATCCCTGAGTGGTAGTAGCAACCTTGGCAGCTGCTCCTGGTGGGAAGACAGCTCATCCACCCCCTTGCTTGGCTCTGGGTCTGCTGGCAGCTGTAACAGTTCTCTGTAGCCACGCTAGTACAGCTGACAAGTCAGGAGTAACTCTAGATCACTAAGTTAACTTTTTTAGTTCATATTTTTTTTCCAATATTCACTTTTTCTTGATCACTTTTTTTTTGTTCTAGGGGATTACTGCCACAGCCACATTACCAGAGAGTGGTTCATCACTGGCCTTACGAGCCCTAGGATGGGGCTCGCTCTACGCATGGTGCGGAGTTGGATTGCTCAGTTTTGCTATCTGGAAGGCCCTGGGTGTGCACAGTGTGAGTAGCAAGTGTGATCCCCTCAAATACCATATTTTTCCTTGGGTAATGCATCTTGGGGTGGCATCTCTATACTGCTTCAGCTTAGGAGTTACACCTTCGTTCACCTCACGTGGAGTGACTAACCAGAGTGTGTGCACACAGAGAAGGCGTTCGTACATCTGCAAAAAAAATGGGATGTTGTAGGAGGAGACAATTTTAGGGGAGGGACAGTTTTGTCCTGCATATGTTTATTTGCACAGATGTTTCAGATTCTTCACAAAAGAGCCAGTGTTCTAAGACAGACTAAAATAGTAGCTGCAAACTTTCTATATCCTTTGCTTATTGAATTGAAGGCTACCCCCTGAATCCTATCTTTAGAGCAATCCGTTTATTTGTCCAAGTTCCATTTTTTGCATCAGGACACTGGGGACATAAGAAAAACTGAGAGGAAACCAGCTTGCTTTCTAGTGCATTTCTGGAAGGGGCAAAGGGGCAGAAGATTGAGTTTCATGTGCAATAGAATGGTTGGTCTGTGACATGCCACGTCAAGGAAAAGAAACTCGGGAAGCATCTGTATGTCCCAAGGGGCTAAGGCTATCTTTAGTAAATTGCTTATGTTGCAGTGTTTCACAGCATTGAACGTGAACACTAAAGTTCGTGTAAGCATTTTTGTTTGCCCCTAGTAATGAGCCATGACTTAAGAGTCCCCTGCAGCTGTAAGTTTGGCAGAACTGTCTGCACCCTCTTTAGGACTAGGAATGAATAGACTTCCTTTACCTTGCATGGCAGATTATATATTCAGCAAAGTGTCTCCCAAAATTAAAAGGAAGAAGATACTACTTCATCCCAGTACTGTTCTCATTAATATCTTTATTCAAGTTCTCACTTTTTGTCTTCTCTGCTGATGTGTTCTATAGGTCATGATTGGGATCCCAACATACAGCACTACACAATCCCTTGTTCCTCAGTTTCCAATGTTGAGTCTCAATAGGAGCCATTAAAGAAGGCTGAACACAAACGGGGAAAAAAAAAAAAAAGGCAGAGCAGGACATAGGAGGCATCTACAACACATTTTGTTTAAACTCAGGCCCTCCTTGTGAGGCTGTAGTGGAATGGCAGAGAAGGGGGAGGAAGAGTGGGAGTACCAGTTTATACTCTGCATGCTGAGCTATAGCAGTCTGCTCGGTTTACTGTCAGTTATATCATCAGCCAAAAGGATTCATGTCACACTGTGCTGTTGATTCTTATTTTCATTCTGTCAGAGTACTTCTGGTCCTGCCAAAGGACAACAGAATCTGACCCTAATCTGCAGTTTATGTTAACGGTTTCTCAGCAAGCTTAATTTTTACTTCCTTGAGAAGTACTGGCCTAGAACCACCATTGCCTGGTCTCCCTCTGAGGCTGCTTTCCTTGAGACTGCCAGACAGAAAACAACCACATAAGCTTGAGATGGCCAAGCCCCAGCACACGTCAGAGTCTGATGGGGGCTTCTGGCTACCTGAGAGCAGTGGCTCTTGCCTCAGAAGCATACAGCGCACTGCAGGGCATTTTAGAGACTCATCGAGCATTTGTAGTCAAAGCTGCACCTTATTATATTCTGTGTTGTGTTAATGTTGAAAGGAGGCAGGGAACATTGTATCTTAAGGGGCTCTTGCAAGTGCCTGTCAGGATTGGTTTCTGTCATGGAGTACTTACGCTTCACCGTATTGCACAGCAGACACTGAAGGAAGCAGATTTCTGTCAAGAGACTGTGTCTATGCATGAGTTTGAACAGCGCTTTCCCTACTCTCCACAGACATATTTATTGCATTCACTATAGACTTGAATTCCCACTGCAGAAAGGAAACACGTACAATAGTGCTACTTATTATTGCAGAATCAAAAATTAGCACTTGTAAATTTCCTGTCACACATTTCTTTTTCCTATTATACTATATATGTGTTAAAATCAAATATATATGTGTGTCTAAAGTGTGCTGGAGGTACAAAAGCAGAAGTACGATAAAAATGAAATATTCTGACCAAAGAGGTTCATTAGCATTAAAAATATATTTCCTGACTAATTAATCTTTGATTTTTTTATTGTTGTTGACACTTTTTGCATACTGCTTTAACATAGAATCATAGAATAGTTTGGGTTGGAAGGGACCTTTAGAGGTGATCTAGTCCAACCCCCCTGCAATGAGCAGGGACGTCTTCAAGGAGATCAGGTTGCTCAGAGCCTGGTCCAACCCAACCTTGAACGTTTCCAGGGATGGTACATCTACCACCTCTCTGGGCAACTTGGGACAGTGTTTCACCACCCTCATTGTAAAGAATTTCTTCCTTATATGTAGCCTATATCTATCCTCTCTTAGTTTAAAAAACATTACCCCTTGTCCTATCAGAACAGGCCCTACTAAACATAACACTCAGGAGCAAATACCGACTGTTGAGAGAAGGTATTTCTGTGCTTAAATATAATTTTCCTGAACAGTTGAGATTAAATAAGGGTTATAAGCTGACTGGTACATTAGTAGTTCTGGACTCTTAAACATATGCTCATTTTAAGAAGGGCCTATTTGTTTTTATTTATTTTCCTATTTCAGGGGAACATTGTGATACTTTTGAAAATTCTTAATTGCTATCATGTAAGCAGAGATAATAGATTAACATTCAGACAGTTAAAATACTGATTTTAAAAAACACATATTAAATGCATATATTGTATCTAATAATTATTGGATAGCCAGAAAAATAAAGTTTTATTTGTGGGAAACTATTCACTGAAGTTGTCACTGAAACAAAGTTTCTTTCCACATAAACTGTTCAGACCACAGAAGACATCGTAGATGTTATGCGAAGCTCATTTCAAATTAATATTTTAAAATGAACATTTTAATTTCAGTTAAACATTTTAAAATGAGTCTATCATGAATTAACCTGAATAAAAATGTCCCGAGTCTTCAGTGTGGCTGAGTGCTGCAAGTTAATTTGCTCTGTAGTACATGCAAGTTCCCAATACCTGCAGAAGTTCAAGTTACAACTTCAAACCTAGCATCAGACAGCAAGATTTGAAAACTAATAACTTAAGGCAGACTTTCACTTCTGAAAGCACTGTGCTGTATGTGACCTGAGGGGAGACTCAACTCATTTTGATGCCAGGAATCTGTGTGAACTTAATAACTACAGCTTTGGCAGCTGGACAAAGAGAGGAAGAGGTTCTGCCCAGCCTCTTCACCTTACTGACTTTAACGGTAACCAGCTGCCTTTGGGACCAGCTAATTAGTGATCTGGCCCTGCTGGGCAGCAGCTTCATTTGTTTAAGAGCTACCGGTAATATTGAAAACATTACTGACAGCTAATGTAGTCTCTCGGTATTAAATTGTTAAGCATAATTAAATTCTGATTGTAAGCACTGCAGATGTTTCATTTAGCAAACAAGAAAGCTGGTTCTGTCACACGTAAGAGTACATTAACTTTCTCAAATCCATTGCCAGCTCTGTCCCTGTGACTATCTTGGTGGGATCGCAGCAAATAAAGGGCTGACCTTCGCTTGCAGGGCTTGGAGGGGAGTTCCAAGTCAGGTAAACCTGAGTTGCTAAGTGTCGTTTAGTGCCTCATGTCATCTCCAGGAGAAAAATACAAGAAGCCACAGCGGAAAATCAGACATGATGGGTTGGCAGAAATCACACCAAAAGGAATAAGAGAGCTTGAGGCATGGCTGGCTTGGCCAGGAAAGCTGTTGAGGAGTTCCACTTCTTCCTGGCCAGCCCACGGAGACGGCTGAAGCCAGTGCACACCAGAGCTGGGGCTGGCTTGACAGGAGGAGAAGAAAAGCAAAGCTTGTCGGTGAATTTGGAGAAGTGCAGGGAAAGATATGCTCAGTGCTGTACGGGCTTTGAACTCTGCTCACGTTAGCCATGCGCTGGTTCCAAATGATAGACTGTTCCATTGCTGCGACTGAGTTGTCCGAACCCGTATGTCCGCGTACCTGCCCTAAGCCCCTTGTGATGGTTCTGGCACCCACAGGAAGAGGTGGGCAGCATCTCCTGCGCACCTGAAAGGGTAGAGCTAAACCAGCAAGGTGCTGCTACCATTTATGTATTTTTGGGAGGGGGAAAAAAAAATAAGGTCTGTACGATTGCCCTGCGCTGCCAAGGGCCGATCGCTGAGTCCCCCGGGGGCGGGGCCACGAGGGGGCGGGGCCGGAGCGGCTCCGCTGCACCGCAGCGACACCTGCTGGCGCCGGCGGGAACAGCCCCGTGTTATTTTTCACACTGACGGAATAGGCGGTTTTAATCGTCGTGTAACGACCCGGCCCTGCAGTAGTGGCACACGGTGTTGCCATTAGTTAGAGCCCAGAAGAGCTGTTTCGCTTGGTATGGTTGCCAAAATGCCGTGGTTGTTAATGTTCGGGGATGTGTTTCCTGTGAGCATAAATTATTGACGGGACAGTGAGTGATTGATAAAAATATGATTACTCTAAGCTTTGTGACTGTTTAAATTATCTTGTCATCACTTGCAAAGTCAGAGATGAAACGACAAGAGCAAACTGGCACGATATTTCCTTGATGAGTCATAATTGCTGTAATTAATCTGCATCCGTCATTCTGAAGCAGCGTCGTGATTGCTCAGCAGTTTGTGTCATAGAAGGGAACTGCAGCCACAGTTCAGGATCCCTCGTCCTTACACCTTCCGAGACAGCCTGTGTTTGCCATAGAAGCAAGTTGTTGCTAAGATCTGCTTCAGACCCCGAGGTGATACGCCAGCTTTGGTGATGCTAGATTTTTATTTAATCTTTGTGGTTTATTGGTTCTTAAACCAGTGCTGTGACAATGCCTACTTCCAGCTCTTAAATGGCTTTATTGTTAAAGGTGGGTCCCTGTGTCTTTAGTGTCTGCTGCTTTTTATGCCAGCATGAAAACCAAGGGGTGACAGTAAGTAACTGGTCTTTATATCTTGGTGAGGGATATAAAAGATTTTACGCTGTCTCAGGTTGGGTTGTTAATATCCCCTGACTGCAGTTACCATTGTTG